CTTTTCTGTGCTTCTTGGTATTTTCCAAATTTTCTATAATGAATGATATTATTTTTATGATTGCAAAGAACTTATTTTTAAAAAGAACAATAAAAAAGTGAAAGGACATGCTGTCTATATAGCCTCAAGCACACTGAATTACCTGGCTCTGTACACATTAACCGTGTCCTAACGGACCCGACCCGGAGGAGCCTTCAGATGTCGCTCCTGGAAGAGGCGTCGGCACTGTGGGAGGGCAGAGGTGGCTCAGCTCTCAGCTCTGCTCCCTGCTACCTTAGGGACCTAGGACGACATTCTTAGCCCAGCTGAAACCTGTCCCTTTGTCAAGATTTTCTAAGTATTCAAGCTCACTAAAGACAGATGTCTTTAAATAGTAGTTATTGATTTTATACGGCTCCTTCTGCTTAGAATGCGCCTCCTTCCCTTTTCTTCCTGCTGAGAAGCTGCACGTCTTTAAAGCTCAGCTCAGATGCCACTTCCTCTTTGTGCCTGTGACGACTTATAGAGCGCTGCCCAGGTGTCAGGCGCTGTGACAATCACTCTATTTACGAGGTCATCTCCCCTGTTCTTCACTGCACTGGGGCACAGGGATTATCACCTCCATTGTACAGGTGGGAAACTGAGGCTTGGGAGGTAAATAATGACCAGGATGACAGGGCAGGGAGGGTCAAACCTCAATCTGGTGAGGCCCTTCTGACCTTTACCCTTGCCTTTGAATACTGATCCCTCCAGAAATAAGTGGTGGCTCCCTCTTCTGTGTTTGGTGGATCTTGGTTGTAAATTCATTGGGAATTAATTTTTATTCTGCCTTAGTTGTTCTTATTTGTAGGCATTTTTGTGCCATGGAGCTCGTAGTTTTTTGAGGGCAATGATGACATTTCAGGAACTTTGGATCCAACGGAGTTTAGCATCACACTCTCCACGTAGCAGGTTCTCAAGAAACATCGGTTGAGAGGCTGAATAAAGCACCGGATTTGAAGCGTTTGAAGTGATGCTGCAGTCTTCTGAACCTCCGCCCCGAGAGAGGTGGGTCAGGGTTACACACTTCGGACCTTCAGCGGCATAAGTAAGGCCCTCGGAACAATCCGGGCTTTCTGCTCAGGACCCACCCCCACGGGGGAGTCTCAGCTCTCCTGAGCAGGAAGAACTGAAGTTGGTATGCAGGACAAATACTTGTTTTTAGGAAAGCTTCCCTGTGACTCCAAACGATTCCAAGATGACTGGTGTTAGAGCTTGGAAGACACTTAGCTGAGGTCAAATGTGGAAAGAGAGAAAGGTCACTTTCAAGACTGGCAGGTACGTCAATCTCGAGTTAAGAGTGGGACAGAATGAGCGCAGCATGAAGAGAGTGGCGGGAACTCTGTGTGGGCATTAGACAATTTTCCAGCATAGTAAACCTTCAGAGGCTTACAACAACAAGCTTTTGCTTTTGGCTCATGTCACACCAGGACTGCAGGCCGTCAGCAGCTCTGCTCTCAACCGCAGGTCAGCCACGGGTCTGCTCTTTGTCTTCTCATTCTGGGGCCCAGGCTGAAGGGGCAGGGCCTATAGACACAATCTGTTCTCGTGGCAGAGGGCAGACATTCAAGAGCCGGCTGGACCACGCAATTACATTTAAGCCTCTGTTTGAACATGGCGAGGGCCACATTGGCCCATATTGCATTGACCAAAACAAGTTACATGGCTGAGCCCAACATCAAAGGTCTGGGACATTTGCTCCTTCCAGTGGAGTAGGGAGCAGGGCATACTACAGTGAGAAAGGAGCATAAAGCAGAGATGGGAAGCATAGAAGACAAAAATCTCAGTGGCATCACGTGACAGGTTCCAAGGGCCAGGACCGGGGGTGTGCATCCCCTCTCTTTGATTATCAACGCCTTCCCCACAGTTCCACCTTTGCAGCCACCTGAGTTCCAGAGAAAGGCTCTGCAAACTGTGAGACTCCGTGTAAGAGAGGGGGCCTGATTCTCTCACACACTTCATGCGCTACTATAGTGTCACTTCTTGCTATGGAAATTGCCCTGCTCAAAACCCTTGTCCATAAAATGGCATATAGGTCACATATTTATACTCATAGACATATACTCATATATATTCAGGTGTATTATATATTCATACATGCTGCCAGCTGGGGTGAGCTGCAACCTGGTTTGAGTAAGTTTTAAGAAAACAATATAATTCAGTTGGGAGATGTTTGGAGAAAAAATAATAGGTTCATAAAAAACAAGAAAGATCTGTTCTGGAATTTGAAACCACACTGATACGTTTTGTGGAACAGGAAGTTTTAAAAAAGATAAAATAATTCTAAGCTAGGTCAAAAGCATCCAGAAACGATTGTGCTCTTTGAGCTATTTCCCAGGGGAACGCTCTTGGTGGAGATGAGCGTGTCACAGGCTGTGGGCTATGGGCAGTCAGGGTGAGGTCTGCTTGCCCCGCCCTCTGCCACCTTCGAGCACAGAGCCATCATGCTCCAAGGAGTGGCCTGCTGTTCACAGTTAGAGGAGATTCCTTAGCCAGGGTGTCCACGAACTTATAAAATATTATGTCTTTATATTCACTAATCTCACCTTGAAATTTAGCATTTCCTTCCATTTTGAATGTAGGCAAAAACCACAGTAAAATCAGCACTGCCTGTGATTTTTGTCACCGGGAGAAATCAGTATTTTGTGTTGCAGGCTGGTTGTTGCAGATATGGTGAGATTTCATCTGTGCTCATCGCTACTCTGACATTACAGAAGCTATTGCACCTGCCTCAGATCTGGTTACTCAATGCTTTCTTAAAAAAACACACATATGATTATATTACAAACTTGGTTATTTAAAAGATATTTTGATAATTGTATATCAGCATAATTGTATTCCTTTAGAAGTCTCCATTTTTCTAAAAAAATTTATCCACTTTAAAGTCTTATCCTGGGGCCCGCCCCATGGTGGAGTGGTTGAGTTCACTCACTCTGCATCAACGGCCCAGAGTTTTGCCGATTCGGATCCTGGGCACAGACATGGCACCACTCATCAGGCGGTGCTGAGGCAGCGTCCCACATAGCACAACCACAGGCACTCACAGCTAGAAATACAACTACGTACTGGGGGGATTTGCGGAGAAGAAGAAAAAAAGAAAGATTCTCAGCAGTTGTTAGCTCAGGTGCCTATCTTTAAAATAAATAGATAAATAAATGAAGTCTTATTCTGAGCCAGGCTCCGTGGTCATTACCAAAGTGCCAGAGGAGCTCATGGCAGAAAAAATTAAGAACTCGTGCCTTTAGTTAATTCTCACTCGGCAGGAGAGAGAGAGTAAAGGTTGTTATTTCTGAACAGTGAAGTTCCATGTTACCATGGACAGTCCACTCATTCCTTGGGGGAAATATCATTGAACATGGGTTTTCATTTGTCCAAGGGCCTAAACAGATTTTCTGGATCAACACTTTTGCTCCTTACATCCTGTCCTCCTATCAAAGAGGCTGAAGGAGCTGGGCTTCAAGTCCTGGGCCAGGAGCTCACAAGTTAAACCATCGGCTTGGGCTCCCCTTGAGGCACCCCCCCAGGTGTGATTCCTATTCTCACTCCACCCCGGGTCACTGATGATGTAACGTTGGGCCATGACACTTGTGTTCCAGAGCTTCTCTGCTTCTCTAGCACCTGAACTCTCCTATCTGAGTTGCATTTTAGTCCCACTCACAGGTTTATTCGCTGTCCAGTCTCCTCTATTATCTCGGAGATGTAGTAGGTGGCTTAGGGTTTCAAGCAAGCAGAGAGTAAAGTAGCAAACCTCTGTGAGCCTCATCTGGGGCACAAGGTAGATAGTGTCCGCCCTGCAGGGTTGTGGGCAGAAAGTGAGATTTACCACAGCTTTATTTATTGAGATGGAATATCTATGTCTGTATCTGTATCTATATCTACATCTACCTATACATCTGTACTCCAGAGACCTCAAATTAATTCATAAATAAGTTTTCCTGAAGAACAATTATTAATCTGAGAAAAGCTCAGAAAGAAATGTGGAAATCGAGTGGCTAGAGCCCTGTAGGAAAAGACTGAGGAAGAAGACAGAAGCAAGATGCACATAAAGGGTGTCCATAGCTTTACAAGTAACAGCTCCTGAGAAACATTTGGTTCAGTTCTGAGCAAGCAGGTGACATAGGTACTTTTTTGTCCAAAAACATTATATACTAGTGTCCCTGGAAAGATGGTAGGACTAATTTGTCTGATGAAAGGAAGGAGGAAATATTAAAATGATGAGACATGAATTGTTATCATTTTACAACATATTCCACATATTTTCAAGTTGCAATTGCTAAGGAAAAGGAAGAAAACATTCCATTAAGAATGTAATACATTTACTCAGCGATCGTTGAAATGGACAATGGCTTACAAACTTTTTTAGCAGTGCAGTTCCAAGGAGACAAAGGAATATTCCAAAGGAATATTTTGAAAAGGAGACACTCCAAAGAGTTGCCATGATTATAAACAGTGATATGAAATTAGGATTCAAACAATGTTTCCCTAGTCAGTTTATACAATATTTGAGCTTAAGAACACCCTAGAGAACAACCAGCACCAACTCCCTATTTTCTAGGTGAGGAAGCAGTGAAGAGGGGAGGGGGCATCCAAATATCTCCAGAGTCTGACCTGGCCCTGCCAGGTGGCACACCTGGGACAAGAACTCAGAAATCCTGACCTCAGTGCCCTTTTCCCTCCATCTCTGTATCTTTGTTGTCTCAAGGAAGTAATGAATGAGGAGCCAAACATTTACAGAGTTTTGACTTATCCAATAAATATTCAGATGACTTCACTCTCTCCTTTTCCTACGTTCTACAATAGAAACATTGAATGAAGGCAGTGCTGTTTCTCTTTCCAAATTAGGAAGTTGTTTTTCATCTCCACTTAAAGCATGCTGCCCTGGAAGCATGCCCACAGACCCATGACACCCTACAGCCCCCTGCCACATCATCACTCGTGCTTTCTGAAAGGCCCTACCCATTGCTTGCATCCAGTTCAAAGAGTCATTCTTGGTACAAATCAGTAGTGGGTGTCCGCGGTGTGAAGATCTCCCGACTCAGGAAGAGTTTGAGCGCCTTCCTGAACCACCGGTAGGAAAAGACATAGATGATGGGGTTGCAGGCTGAGTTGAAGTAAGCAAACCAGATAAAGACATCGAAGACCAGTGGTGGTGTGATAAAGTTAAGGAGGCTGTCAACCATCGTGTCAATGGTGAAGGGAAGCCAGCACAAGAGGTATATGCCCACGGCGATGCCCAGGGTCTTGGCAGCTTTTCTTTCACGTTTAAGAGCCCCAGCCAGGCTTCTGCTCAAGATGTTGATCTGCTGAACTTGCCTGGTAGCAACCATGAAGATCTTCACATACAAGCTGATCATGATGAGGCAGGGGAAAAAGAACACAGGGAAGTTTAACCAGCCCCAAAACTTGTTGAACAGCAGCTGGCAACTGCCCACACAAGGCATCTCTTCCAGCCACTGGCTGAGCCCTCTCTCGACCACATCTGTGTAGAGGAATAAGGCAGTGTAAGCTGCTGGCACCCCCCACCCTGCCAGGATGTACCTGAGGGCCACTCTGACTGTGAACTTGGAGGGGTAGAGCAGAGGCTCACAGATGGCACAGTGGCGGTCAATGGAAATGAAACAGAGATGGAAGATGGAGGTGAGGCAGAAAAGGGTGTCCAGATAGGTATGCAGGCGGCAGAGGAAGTCTCCGAAGAACCAGCAGCTCTCCACGGAGCGAATGATGCTGAAGGGCAGCACCAGCAGACCCAGCAACAGGTCAGCCAGGGCCAGAGAAAGCAACAAGAGGTTGGTGGGAGTGTGAAGTGCCTTGAAGTAGGCCACAGCAAGCACCACAAACAAATTTCCTAGGACTGTAATCAGCATGCCTGCTGCACAAGCCAGGTAGATCACCAACTGGATGCCCAGTGGATGGACCCTCCTGGGGCAAGACCCATTCCCCTGGTAGCAGAACGCCGCGGGGTGTCCTTCAGCACCTCGGTCAAGGACAGTGCTCATCTATGGTTTCTACTCTTCCTCTCTCTGGGAACCAGCCATCTGTTCCATCAAAAAAAAAAATTTTTTTTTTCTTTATCTGCTAAATGATTAGGAAGTGAGACCTAGAGGAGGAACTGAAGGGCGGTTTGGAACCGGGTACGATCTCCCTGGAACTGAATCAAAGGCACCTGAGAGTCAAATGCAGTGCGGGATTCCAGGTCTCATGAGAGTTCCTTCTGCTACTCCTGTTTTGTCTGAAACCAGGACAAACAGTGCTCCTTTCTAGCACTTTTGAAACGAGTGAAGACAAGATCCTTAAGAAAGAGAAGAAGGATGTAAGTTAAATGTTTCCTCAAAGAAAAAGCTGGCTATGTCACAGTAGGTAGCATGCAATTATTGAGAGATTATCTGCTCCCTTTGGATAAGTTACCTGTTGTCGAATGTAAAGTGAGATTTAAATTATGGGTCTAACCAAGTGAAGAATTAATTCTAGTCAACAAATCATTTCCTGGGAAAGGAGTAACTTCTGGCTTGTCCCCTCAAGGTTTAAATAACTTGACAATGAAATCAGCAGATTAAGCTTTTTAATTATATGTCAACTCTTCCCAAGCAAAGAATTAGGCACACACATAATTAAAAGAATAGAGAACTGCCCTATTTCAGTTTCGCCTGCAGCACAATTTCTAAAGATAACACCCAGTGTTTATACATCTTGTAAGAACTATCTGTTAGGAAAAAGTAGTTTATCTGTCTGAACACTAGTCTATGAAATTTTAAATGAGTTTGAATAAATTAAACTCAAGATTTCTAGGCGACTTACAGACAGAAGAATCAGAATCACTTCTTAAGAAGTCCTTCTTGGCACAGGTGGACATAGGTATGTAGAATCCTGTTCCATCAGCAAAGATGACAGATGTGCCATCAGTTAATGATTTTATACTCCAGATAGAAACTACTCCTCCAGGTGCATGTCATGCAGATGAGTGCTGAAGGAGCGCCAAGGGACCTAATTCGCACTGTTCACAAGTCTTAGTAATTTAAGGCTCCTTCTCAGTACAGGATCATTTATCCTGCCAATTAATTAGAGATGAAAATCAAAGACACTGGATTTAAATAATCTTTTTAAGTTCTGTTTTTAGTGAGTTCCATATATCCCTGCTGCCTTAGGATAATTTGTGTACATTTCTCTCAACATGAGAAATAGTTGAGATTAATCGATCATCAGCCCTTTGGTTTGTGGCCCCTGCATTAGATTCCTCATGGTGTGCTAGTTAAAGGAATCACAGTAGATGAAACAGTTCACCTGGACACAGGAGAGTTAGATTCTTGTTCCTCCACTTCCTAACCATCACTTATTGTCTTCCTCCCTTCATCTCCCCACTTGTGAGAGCATTTACAAGTAGACTCATTTCTGTACCTCACATGGATGTTACTGAGGAAAATAACACATTCAATCATAGTCTGCTTTCTCTGATTCTTGATACCAAGTCTCCAGAAGTTGGAATGCCTTTTTGTGGCCTTGGGGAAATTTTTCCACAATATAAGTGAAACCGATGCTGCAAATGACAGAAATCTAAAGGTGGCAGGGCCTGTGGGAAAAGGTGGGAAGGTCAAAAAAAATGAAAAAGGTTGCCAAGCACCTCCACCTCCTCCAAAGAGCCCAGGCTAAACCCAGTGGAGACTGGTGCAAACCTGCCTTCTTGTATGAAGCCCACATGGGTAGAAATAGATTTCTGAACTCAATCAGACCAGGAAGGATCCTGCATGACCACATACCAGGACACCCCTTATTTTACAAGTCATAATCCACGTGCAGTCAGCCAGGGAGTTCCAGGGCTCTAAAGCTAATCTGATCGAGAATCTGTAAAAAATAGGAACAAATGTCTTACAGCTGGAATAAGCCCTGAAGAATGAAACTCTCAGAAAGGATTTTTGGTTCTGGGATATATTAGATCAAACCTGAATTGCAATGTTCAATCACAAATATATTTGGAGATGGAGAATTTTATGAAGACTGTTTCCAGTTGGGTGATCTCTGTGTCAGAGCTTACCTAACCCTCTGTGCCCAGTTTTCTCATCTGTTAATTGATATAATACAATACCCACACCACAATTTTGTCATGAAGATTAATGAGCTAAAATTCACAAGGTGGTAAGAACCGTTGCTGTCACAGAGAAAGCCAAGTTGGGCAGACAAGAGTGTGAATGGATCTCTAGTCCAGATCCTCTGTTAGCCTTCCCAAGTTAGGGCTCTTATCTCCTCTCCCACTGACTTTTAGAAATACATTCCACTTACATAACAAGTAGCAGCAAAAGTAACTGGATTTGGATCTTCTACATTTTATTGTTTACATCGGGATCCATTAATGCTCCATTTCCACAGCTTTCCCGAAAGCGGTTGTATATTTTAGAAATGGGAAATAAGGGTAAGAGAAATATTAATCAGGTCGTCAAAAGTGTTGTTGAGATTTAGGATTCTATTCTAACAGTTTGTCTTGCTACTCCACAACACTGAAACTCCCAGGCTCGGCTGCAAGACAGGAATGGTAATGCCTTCCAGGTGAAGAGCAGTGTCAGGCGCCCTCACAATAAGTTGTAAGTGTTGGTCAAGCAGAGAGAACGGCTACTGGGAGATATTCTACAAAAGGAAAAATCTACCTGAAGTCCCTGCAGGAACCACATCTCCTCCGCGGTGTGTGGGACAGGCAGGCAGTCAGCTCCTAACTAAGAATCACCTCTGTCCACATTTGCAATCTGAAACAGCAACCACCATTGATGACTAAGGGCAGAGAGAATGAGGATTTTTTTTTTAACACAAAGAATAGTAAAAGCAATTCTCTTAAAGATACAAATAAAGCAGCAATTCCTGATCTGTTTAGGGAGGACAAGACTTCTGCTTTTAGTAGCACCTCTGCCATCCAGTCAAGATCAATTCCATGTAGATGAAGAGGGAGACGCTGCTCTGCAGTGGACAAGGCAACGAGCACGGGCTGTACAGAGGACAGACCTGGTCTGCAAGCTTGTGATCCTTGGAAAGCTTGCCCAACCTCTTGGAGGAACAGGGGTTCTAGCCTCGACGCTATAGGAAGCGTTAAGAAGATTAAATAAAATAACTCATACTGCTCATCTGGAACACAGTGGACACAATATCAGTTCATTTCTCCTATCTCTTTTATTTTGTATTCTCTCTGACTTGACGTACCCTATTTTGGATATTTCCTTATTTTGTAAATTTCTTTTTTCATGTTGCTTTTTAAATGGCTCTTGAGGAATCCATGTGTTTAGTGTGCTGATAAACATCATGAATACAGGAACATTTCATCTCCCGCGAGTCTCCCCAGTGCACCTTGTAGAGCCTGCACTGTGCTTTCCTGCGAGTGATTCCTCTCCGCTCTCCAAAGACTCGGTCATGTGTTCCACCCACACCCATCTTTAACACTCTGTATTTCCTTCTTTTATGGCAGCTCTGGAGCCACTGGCCTGTGGTTTCCCCTTTACTTCCTGTGTCCCCACTAAGCATCACCTTCATGGGATGAGAGACTGTGCCTTATTTACCACTACAACCTGTTAAAGAAAGGAACAACAGGCCCAAAATGGAGTCATGTGATATCCAAATATCACAGCTCCTCCTAAGTTTGAACACACCATTGTATGTTTGGGCAAATTGTATTTTTCATAAGGATTTCATACGATATTAAGGATTATTACTTTACTATCATTTATGACCAGAAATGCCACTATCGAATTTTAGAAACCAAATTGGTTTTCATATTTCCCCCAACATTAATCAATTATAATGAGACTCTGCATTAATTACGATAACCTGAACTTATGAAGCTGGGTGGAAGTGTTTTTAGCAAAAGCTCACACTGGCACACCCACCACAGGATTGGAAACTCCTTGTTCTAGCCTGCTGTCTATGGACAGTCTTTGCCTGCCTTTGAGAACAATTAGGCCAGTATAGTTCTCAATTTCTCCATATCAGTCTTTGCAATCATTCACAGAGATTTTACGTTTCCAATTAGAAATGTAAATAACATTTAAATGTGATAAAATCTATTAGCAGGGACCAGCCCGGTGGCGTGGCAGTTAAGTTCTGTTTCCATGGCCCAGTGTTAGCCATTTTGGATCCTAGGTTTGGACTTACACACCACTCATCAAGCCATGCTGTGGTAGGCGCCCCATATGTAAAGTAGAGGAAGATGGGCATGGATGCTAGCTCAGGGCTAATATTTCTTAAAAAAAAAAAAAGCTCTTGGCATACTTGCTGAATGGAAATAAAAATAAATTTTAATGAAACTCTCATTTGAAAGATCTATTAGTTAATCACTTGTTGCCTATTTTAGAAAAACTACCAGATATTTACAATTTTTGTTCCACCCTTAAAAGAATCTGTGAAAAACTCTCTCCTATTAAAGAAATGGCTTTTAAAAATCTTTAAAAGAAAAAATTAATAATGATAAGAATTTATTGAATGTTTCTTGTTTACAAAACCCATTGATCCGCACAGCGACAGAGCAGGGATTACTGTTCTTGTCTCACAGATTAGGAAGTGAAGCTAAAGTGGTCGCCCAAGGTCTCTCACTGAGTAACTGGTCCAGCTGGGACCTGAGTCTGTCCTGCTCCCCAACCCAGCCCTCTCTATTATGTTATACCTCAAAAGGATGCAAATCTTGAAAAACTGCCTTTCCATCTTCACAACAATTTCGTTCCCTGTTGTCCACAAGTAGCTTCTGCTGATTACCACAGGTCCTTGTTAATTGGGCAAGAACAGGAGGAGGGATAAGTGAGAAGAAGCAAGATTGGGTTTTGAAAGCATGGTTTTGAGCTGATGGACTGAGGAGCAAAGGGCAAACACAAGAAGTTATTTGTCCTGAGAACTGGAGGTTCAAATATCGTTTGCATTCACTGTTATCTCTAAAATAACGGAGATTAAAAAGTAAGCGTTTCCTGTTCAGCACAGACTTCAGGGCCAGTCTGGGCTGTGTCCATGAAGTGGATCCCACAATGTGTCCTGAAGTGAGACCACTAGGAGGACCGTCCAGGGGTGCCAGTTCCTCTTCCTACATCTTTTCTTCCATTCTCCTTCCTCTAAACAAGCCCTGTCTGTCATCCCAAAGGCCATTCCAGAGCCCACATGGATCATTTTTATTAGTGTGTGATGAGAGACTGAAGCAGCTAACACAGGTTATATGAAGCCACTTTCTAGCTCAGCAATAATCCAGGAGAGGTAGTATTATATTAATCATTATATTTAGACTGGATTTGCTTAATTTGCATCTCTTCATTCATATGACTATTAAAACCAAAACATTATCATTTGGCAGGGAGGAGACGGTTCCAATCTAGTATTGGAGATTGCAGTCTGTTTCAGTGCCTCCCTCTCACCTGATGGAGAAATCAAGCCTCGTAACCGGGCACTCAAGGTGCTCCCAGTGCCCTCCTGACACCCTTGCAGCTTCATCTCCCCACATTGTGAGGCTGACCTGATTCTATTCTCACACAAATACCCTGCAGTTTCTTTAGCTTGTTTCGTTTCCTGTGATGAATGGTGCTCTGCCAACCTAAGCTGAGAACTGCGTCTCCAGAATCCCTTTGTGGGTGTGATTCCAAGTCAGAGGAACTTTGGGCAGATCTGGAAAGCAGAAATGCAGGTGCAGCATCGTTCTGCAGGTGTTTGCAGGCAGACTCAGGGATGGACAGACAGGGTACCTGCCCGCTTCCAGCCTGGCCTCCCTCCTGTCTGCCGACACTACCACCAAACTCCTGGGGAAGGACCCACTGAGGCAGCAGCTGGCCGGAGGCAACAGTGCCAGACTCCTCTACAAGCTCTGACTTTGGAGGCCCACTTCAAGCAGTTGGAAGTTGGTCCTTACTTAACCTGATGACACTTTCCTTTGGCCTAAAAGGCAAGCCGTCTTCTCTGAAGCCCAAGCTGGGCTAAAGTTTCCTTTTCCGTTCTCGCCTAGCTTCCTGCAGTGTAATCAAGTGGCTATAGTGTCTCCTATTAGACCATAAACCCCTTGAGGCCAAGACCCCAGTTTCATTCATCTCTGAAGCACAAGTACTCAGAACAGCACTGACACAGAGTCAATGCTCAGTAAGTGTTTGTTGGACTGAGTGTCTTTCCAGGCAGAGAGCACAGCATCCCTGGCAGTCACCATCCGCCTGAGATAACGGCTGCTCTGTGCAACCTGGATGAGTCCTGGGAAGCAGAGCACTGGGTTAGGAATCAGGATGGGATGGTCCACTTTTCCTTGGACCAGCCTGGGAAGAGCATGTGGAGCTGTTTTGAGAAACGATTGAGCTGATGTTTGTGGAAACCCTTTGTAAGTTACAGAAGTCCTTCATTGAGGTCAGGAATGGTTATGACTGCAGCAGAAGCTCCACCTGCTCCTTCACTCCTCCTCTGTTGAGCTCTGCTCCTGCTGGGCAAAAGGAAGTGCTGGTCTCCAAAAATGACCACCCCATGTCCTCAGACCCCAGCTCCTTGATATCAGTAACACATTTCATGTTATTCTGAGGATCGAATGAGGAAATGGAGGTGTGCTGAATGGACGGCTGCACTTCCTGATCAGTCCCTCAGATTTCACAGTCCAGATGTCTTTGCTGAGTTCCCAACGAGGAAGGCAGGGTCATCATGAAGGCCAATTGTAAGATGCTGCTGCCATCATAAGGGGGTCTACTGCCCCATCAGGCCCCGCAATGAGGTCTAACTTGGCCTGATGCCTGAGCCTGTTCCTTGGATCCTTCGAAAGGAAGGAGTACCTTGGGACCAGCCCAGTGGCCTAGTGGTTAAGTTCGCAGGTTCAAATCCTGGGCATGAATCTACACACTGCTCATCAAGCCATGCTATGGTGGCATCCCACATACAAAATAGAGGATGATTGGCACATATGTTAGCTCAGCAACAATCTTCCTCAAGCAAAAAGTGAAAGACTGGCAAAAGATGTTAGCTCAGGGCCAACTTTCCTCACAAAAAAAAAAAAGAAAAGAGTACCTTAGCCTCTGAATATTGCTTCAGGATGAGGGGCAGAGGCAGTCTTCTCCTGCAGCATTAAATTACTGCAACCAGAAGAGAATAAACCAATACTCTCTCAAACATCTTAAAATCCAAGTTTGATTTCAAATACTATCCTGTGATAATGTAAGTTCCTGAAACATCTCAGGACTTGTACATACTGTATTTAAATTATCAAATTACAAGTACTGACCCTGAGAAGCTATAAATGTTTAACAGAACACGCAGATCAAGAGGGTATTGGGAATTCCTAACTGAATCAGAGATGTTATTAAACGTGTTTTGAAGTAACCAATAGTTTCCCAATAGATAGACTGGATCAAGGGTAGTTCCAAAAAACCAAAAGTGTCCATAAAAGCATTTAGGATCTATATATGTGAACATCAGAAACCCTAGGATTAGATGTCCTACCCAGAGGTGTGATGTCCTTTGGCCAGGTCAGAGAACAGAGGGAGTTTGTCACCAAATATTCTGATGTTACTACAAGAATTACTGTAATAAAATACTCTTAACATTAAAACCTATGGTAATCGTAGCAGGTTTTCTCTTTGCAATCTACCAGTGCCTTAAGGTTCTTGTTGTGAAAAGCAATCTTACTTCCTGCAAAAATAAGCAAAGATTGATGAATGAATTACTCCAGCCATGTGTAAACAGATTCTAAGTTTGTGAGTATATTCTACTGGGCTGGAAGAGTCCTTCTATTGAACATCCCTACTTAAAAATTTCCCAATCTGCCCATACACAGAATAGTGAACAACATTTCTACATGGCCAAACCTTTTATAAAACACTTGCTCTATTGAGGCCTTGGGAAAGGGAAGAGAAGACCTCAGGTCCATCCTCAGGAAGTTCACATATGAGCGTGAAGCTCATTCTGACTGCTGCAAAGACTTCTGAGTCAGTGAGTCATTTTCCACTGTGTGCCTCTGCTGGCCTGTCCCCAAGTTCCCCAGCACAACGTTGTGCACATGTGACCAAAGCCTGTTAGAACAGGGATTAAATTCAGTTCAATTTCTTCTGTACAAACAAGCTCTTTCCTTCATCTTCCCTCTCAAGGACAGGAGCCCCTATTATCCAACATCCTTTGTTATACCGTGAATTTGAGTGGCTCTCTCCCATTTTCCTCAAAGTTTCTGTGTTTTAGTTATCCAGTGAATGTGTTCAGAGATTTTTATGGGAGAAGCACCATGCTCAGTCTTGGTGAGTAATTAGTGTGTGCACACACACTTGAAAAGATGGACACACCACGTATATGTACATACAAGCCAAGTGTATGTATAGATCAAAACTATATACTGAGAGAAAGAATATATTTCCAAACTCTTTATCCGTCCATCTCATTTAATAAGACAGTCCAATTTAATCAAAATATTGCAAACCTCACATTAATTCTTTTAGACAAGAAGCTTAAGTCAGACCAATTAAATTGGAAGCAATTCTAGTTGTGTGCTTCCTTCTCCACTTCATGTCACTCACATGCTCCGTAACTCAGGCCCCAGTGTGGCCAAGCTCCCTCCCACTCCTCTAAGATGCAACAACAATCTCAAGAAAGATTTAGATCAACTCAGTTCGACATGGCTGTCAATGAGTGTGAGGATTGACTGTCTCCTCTTATGATGTTTACAAGAAAAAAAGAAGAGCCCTATTTGATTTAAGCCAAAGAAATGAAATTCTAAGTCTCTAATTTTGGAAATTTGGGATTTAGTAAGCCTTCAGAGAGAGTTTCTTTTTATTGGAGGTGCCTTCCCCAGAACCCCAGAAATTGGCCACAGTGGTACCTTTGGCATACCCAGAAGACTGGATCTAGTGCTCCTACTTAGGCATCTGTTACCCCAACTGGAAGAATGTACTGATCTCATTCCTCCATGTCCCTATCTTTGGGTGGAAAGAGCATCCAAGATTCCCTATCAGGAAAGAATCTTAGAGAATGGACAGCATTGCCTAAGCATGTGCAGGAAACAGGCTCAGCGTGGAAGAGTCAGGGCAGAAGACCCTTCCTGAGACAATCACTCTTAATGCCCTGCGAAACCAAGGATAAAACATGCCATATATAATGGGATTGAAAGTAGAATTGAAATAACCCAGCCAGAGGAAGACATTGTACAAATCTTCAGGAGTTGTAAAATTGATGAAAGGGTCTGTGATTGTCAAGACAAAAAAGGGCAGCCAGCATAACACAAACACTCCCACGACTATGCCTAAAGTCTTGGTGGCCTTGCTTTCCTTTTTGGATGCTGCTTTCATTTTGCTTTCTGACCTAACCTGTTTCATCAGGGGACCTGTGCCAATTTGCTTAGCATGCTTCTGGGCTACCGTGAAAATGTATATGTAAATCCCCATCATTACAGTTCCAGGGAGAAAGAAGGCTATAAAGGAGGCCAGCACTCCCCAGAGTTTGTTAAATATCAACACACACAAACCTGTGCAGTCAATGGCTGCAACAAAATCTTCTGCACCAATTATGTTTAATTCTGAGAAAACCAGGCCAAGGGCAAAAAAGATTGGAATAGACCAACTGATGAATAGAAAGACCTCTATGACAGGGATGGTGATTTTGGTGACATAATGCAAAGGGTCACAGACAGCATAGTAGCGGTCCACGGAGATGAAGCAGAGGTGGAAAATAGAGGTGGTACAGAGCATGATGTCGCAGCAGCTGTGGACTTTGCAGAAGAGATCCCCAAAGTACCAGCAGGATTCGATGGACCTGATCATGCTGAAGGGCATGACCACGCAGCTCAGCAGAAAGTCAGTGGTGGCCATGGAGAGGATCAGGAAGTTGGTCGGGGAGTGGAGCTGCTTGAAGTGGGCAATGGAAATGATCACAACCAGGTTGCCCAGCATGGTCATTACTATAGCACCAATCATGACAACGTACATGGCACAGACACTCAGCACAGACCTCACATTTCTAGGGCAAGAATTGTTAACCAAAGCAAAGCAAAACTGTACTTCTTGGGTATTCCCAATGTCAGGTGAATTCATCTTCTTTGTCCCATGGGTGCTGTGAGCCTTTTACAAAAGTACTGTTTCTCTCTCCTTTCTGTGAAAGAAAGAGGAAAAATAATAAAAATGGTTGGCAGCGCAACTTTTCAGAGTGGCCCAGCTAGCTGTATTTCCAATCCCAGGTTAAACTTCCTGGGGTCAGCCAGACGGCATAGTGGTTAAGTTCACCCGCTCACTTCGGTGGCCCCTGGGTTTGCGGGTTTGGACCCTGGGTGTGGACCTTCAGGCTGCCCGTCAAGCCATGCTATGGTGGTGACCCACATGCAATGGAGGAAGATTGGGATGGATGTTGGCTTAGGGACAATCTTCCTCAAGCAAAAATAAGAAGATTGTAAAGAGACGTCAGCTCAGGGCCAATCTTCCCCACCAAAAAAAAAAAATCCCAAACAAAAAAACAAAAAACACTTCCTACTGAGCAGAACAGTGTTTACGAATCACCCAGAGATCTTTTTGACAGCACAGATTCTAATTCTGAGGAGGGGGCTGAGAGTCTGCATTTCACACCAGCTTTCAGGAGATGCCAATGCTGCTAGTCTAAGACCATCCCTTCACTAGGAAGGGACTAAAGACAACTGAATGAATATTGTCACCCAACATCTAAGTGACCCAGATAAAACCACCTAAGTAACCTGGGTAAACGCGTGTTCTGATTGCACAAACAAGTAGCCCTTACTCAAGATTCCATCCATAGGCAGGTCAAGAATTTTCGTTGTCCCATTTTTATTAATCAATTTGCCTAATAAAAGCACTTCAAGAATTACCAGGACCTGTGGAACTATTATTAAATGTTTAGATTAAATGATAATTGCCATGTAAAGATTGCGCTTTTTAAAAAAATTTGTCCTGTGCATATCTGCAAATGCTTTGGTTCCTGCCACTTAATACAGACTGTTCAGTTCAGGAAACATTTCTCTATCCAATGTGAACAATATAGTTTTTAGAATTTAGAGCAATATTGTATAAGGTAAATTAAAACTATGCGAAAGCCTACAAGATTACATATGAATAATCTCAAAAAAAGGAGAAGTATCTCAAATGATAGACTCTGTACATCTTGTGGGTTGTCTCCTTTCATTATGAGCTGCATTCATTCGTGAATTCAAATTCAGGTTGAGGTCATCCAATCCACTGATTTCATCCTACGTTGGTAACAAATTTGGCATGCTCATTGTTTAAGCTGTCGCTTTATATAACTTATGCCATTGCCCTTAAAATGTGAAAATAATGGGACTGACTCACCCTGAGTATGACCTGGGTTTGATTTGTTTCTCCAGGGCTGGGACTGGCTGTGCAACTCTGATGCCCAACCACAAGCATTAGTCAGATCTAAGGCCGGGTTGGAGAAGTGGACTTTGGCCTGAGAATAGATTCAAACTCTCTAGTCCATCAGGAAATTGAACCCACAAGCGTGTTCTCACCAGATTTACTTGGAAAAGACATTAATAAGAATAAAAGTACCTTTGAAAATAGTATTTGCAGTAGCTGCTGCTAGAGCTCAGCACTTTTTTCCAATGTATTATTTGAAATCTTAACATTATGGTACATTTTATCTACTCTGGATATATTAATTTAATTTATGAGATTAGCATTTTTCTTTCGATATATTTTAATTGTACCAATCAAATATTACGCAGTTGAGCTGAACTTGAGAAACCAAAACATGCAGAAGTAAAATGTAAAAAAAAGACTTATGCGACTCCGTTATAAACTGTTATCTATCAATTTCAGAACGCACAGCACAAATTATTTGCTTACTTATCACTTTGGTTCCTAAACTCTGATGAATAAATGAAAAGCAATGGGATATGTTGGAGCATACAAGGAAACCATTTGGTTTAAAACTAATTTAACCTGACTTTGTTTTTCCAAAAAGGCCTGACGTGGCCTATTGAGCACACATTGTTCATCTGCTTGAAACAGTTACCAGGTCCCAAAGACAAGAAGGATGCCTTTAAGGATAAGGATGTAGCCTCCCCCTATATGGCCATTCTTTTGAGGATAAGCATCTCTTCCTAGAAACTAAGGATTAATTACCCACCTGCTGTGCTCACCTTGTGACCCCTGACCTGCTGACCATCGACTTGCTGTGCTAGCTAAGCATCTCATGACAGCAGTAAAAGGGACATTCTGATCATATGCGATGTGTGCTCTTTGTTCCAAGAAAGTATATAACCACGCTGTACCCCCACTTCTTTGGTGTCCTCCTTTCCTTGGGGAAGGAAGGCCCCAGGCTATAGTCATCAAACTTGGCTTATAACAAACTTACTCCAATTTTGATTTATAGATTGACTATCGTTCATTGGTGCCACATTTCTAAGATGCTGAATATAACGAAATCTTAAATACCTGACCTTTTTAAAGTTAACTTTATCCTGCCTTTTATTTTCTTTGCTTTTGTGAATTAAAAAAAAACCTCGTAATTCTTTTAAAAATTACCTTTAAAAACAACTAACAGTTACCACAAAGCTACTTAAGCCTTTGTCGCTGTGTCTCTATAGAGATAGCATCCCTCATGCAAAATAGTACACTCTTCAATACGCCCTGGGATGATTTTTGGAGTTTTAAGTTTCAGTTTTGAAAACCTAGTCCCTGAAAGGATTGATATAATTTAACCTCCTAGGTTTGTAAAGTGAATTTCATTCTACTTATTTATTTATTTATTTTGTGGAAAACACGTATGAAACAGCTGCTAGAAATTAATAGTGTTATCTCATATTTCCAATGCGTGGTTATAGATATTAGGGAAATATTTAAACATTTAAGTGTTAGATTAAGACAGAAAGATAAAGTGAGACACACATATTTATTTTAAAAGTTATTACCTGGGTGAATTGTTAAGATGGAGGTGAATGTTATAACACCTTTAGGCACCTATCTTAAATTCTTAGCCAAAAGTTACAAAAACTAGTAAGCAATTGCAAGTATGACTGCCCGTCTACTGCTTTCTCAAAAAAGGAAATTGTCGTGAAATTTAATGCAGCTGAGGTTTTGTTTGTTATTTAAAAACTTAACAGAATAGAGATTCCTTTCCTTTAAAGATTCACCTCAAAAAAAATACAGCAATTTTTTAATAAAATAAAGTTAACCCTTCTATGACATCTCACTTTTATCATGGGACATTTTTGTTACACCTGTTTTTTCTTTTTATCAATAATATTTCAACAAAAGACCAAATTAATGACAACATTGCAAACGATCACCTAATGAAAGCAAACAAAAGTTTAATTATTTTTGCCAGGGGTAAAAAGAAACATATGTGGACAATTCTGGAGAGAAGTAAGAATTGCAGCGTTTTTTAGTTTGAATTTAGTTCTGTAAGGGAAAAGGTTACAGAATAAGGAAATAGACATGAGGACTCTGAAATAATGATTTTGAAAAAGTAAAAGTTCCTCAGAATTTCAAAGAAAAAAGGAAAAAGAAATTATGGAATAAATTTTCCTCAAAAATTAAATACCTAAAAATTTATTAATGTATATGTATTTCCCTCAAATAAAGAGGAAAATACACAACAAACTCAATAATGTATTGTAAATAAAGTGAAAAATTAGGAGAGGACACATCATAGCTACTTTATGAGGCAGGATTTTTCTTCCTTTACTAGTTACATAGCTCAACCTCTCCAGCTCTGAGACTGTTTCTCTGGAAATAATGATTTCATTTTGCTTTGATGTGCCTCACTCACGCAATATTTTCTTAGGTAAAGGAAATTACTTGTGAATGAGATTTAAGAAAAATCTGTTGTGGGTCTTCCTATCATTGCCTCTTTAGAATCTCAGTGATGTTTTAAAATGATCTAGATTTATTTTTTCGATTGGTATTTTAAGTTTGGTTCCTTTCAACATGCCAGAAAAAAAAAAGCTAAATCTAACTGATCTTTTTTCCTCTCAATATATTCTCGTTTGGTTTACTAGAATTTGTTTGGCTAATTAGATAATTTGGAACTAAAACCGTTGGAAGGTGACTTACCTGTTGTGCTGATGAGCATTGTGCTCCACCACTCTCTTCCCTGCTGATTTCCCCCCAGAAAAGGCACTTAGGCCCAGGCTCTTACAGGTAGGCTGCTGGCAGGCTGTGCTGGCATCAGTCTGTATATACGAACCATGCCTCCTGAGGCTGCATTACCTGTGTGCTGCTTTGACAGGTGTGTCCTTTAACAACCTCCAGTGTGCTGCCAGCAAAGAGGTGACAGTAAGTCACCAGAGAATTGGCTCCAGGAGGGTGAATCCATTTTGTACTATCATCCCCACGACTTTAGAGGGACCACACGGACCAGCCTCACACAAGGCCAAAGGGGAGAAGGATGAAAATGTGAAAGGAAGGATGGAGAAGGAGAGAGGAGGGAGGGAGGAAGCGAGGAAAGAAAGAAGGAAGGAAGGAAAAAATTTAGTTCAAATCCAGCAAATGCTCTTTCCACTTATTACCAAATGCTAGATGTTTCAAACAGTGAGATCTTTAATACCTAGTGAAAATTTGACTCATTTTCACCTTTTCCTGGTACCATGCACAAGTCAGCAGTATTCATTCACGCTACAGTTCTTCAAGTCTGTAGTTTTCCTAACCCAAACAAAAAGCAGTAAGAACCACATTTCACACTGTCCATGCAAATAATCCATAACCAATCTATAAATCAAAATTGGGTGAGTTCATTATGAGCCAATCCTGAGGACCGTATAGGCCAGGAGAGTCCTTTCACAAAGGAAGGGAGCCCTCCAAAGAAGTGGGGTGTGCAGTGTGGTTATACACTGTCAAAGAGCATGCATCACATAGGATAGGAGTGTCCCTTTTACAATAGTCATGAGATCACTTTGCCAGCACAGCAATTTGGTGAACAGAGCAGGTCGGTGGTCACAAGGTGGGTGGTCACAAGGTGAGAGCAGCAGGTCAGCAATTAATCCTTAGTTTAGGGAGAGATGCTTATCCTTAAGGAAATACCCATGTGGGGGAAGTTACATCCTTATCTTTAAGGGCATTGTTCTTGT